GATATTCGTCAATCTTGTTCAACTGAACCTTCATTCTTTTAGTCTGAGTAAGATGTGTTTTTATGATTTCTAGATACACAGAGCATATCGTTTTGACTTACCGATGCCGTTTGCTCTCCAAATTTGTTTGCTAGGTATATTTTGAGTTGACACATAAAAAAGTAGGAATAAATGGCAAGTGTTTCTGTAACAGCTTAGGTTGGTTGGTTTAGAGTTGACCCCAAACAACCAAGCATATGCCAAGACAGTATTGTTCAAGTATTCATTCGCTTCCTTATTTTGTATAAGCGTTATATTCGCTATTATCTTATATTGAATGTTGAGAGCCTTTGTTTGTCTGAACAGATAATCCCACGCTCCTCTGTGACTGTGCGAAGATCGAAATAAAGACCTATTCAGTACTTCTCTGGTTTCTTCTATCAATAGCACGAGGGTTACCTTAAGGCACGAAATTTCTCTTGGAAGCCAGTACTTGTTGGATGTTGTACTGAATCTTGTAACTTTGTTTATGTATGTAAATGAACTCTGGAATATAGTTGAGTCCCAGGTGTTGCTTCATGCTGATGATGTGAAAATTTGGCGAGAAATAACAGGAGACGTAGATGCATATGCAGTTCAGGAGGATTTAGATGCTACAGTTCTCTGGTCTAAGAGATGGACGGTGTTTGTCGACGCAGCCAAGTGTGCCTCAGTCAGTCAGCCACAATGTTGGATCAGGCACATGTGTGTGTCTGTATGAAAATGAGGGGATCGAAAGGTAGATAGGTACAACATAGGAGAAGATTTGGTGCTCGTTATCGGTTCTTACAATGAATACGTAGTAACAGTGAGTCATGATCATCAAACCACGTCCCACTAACGCGTGGTGATGGCTGAGTGGTTCACAATCGTATAGTTTTTATAAGGACATTTATCAAGTTGGATACCAACATATTCAAAAAGTGTACACAACCTTTATGAGATCTACCTTTGAAAACTGCATTCAAGCTGCAAGCCTCTATTTCAACGGTATTGTGGATATTTCGAAAAGTGTATAGACAATAGCTACTCGCGCTATCCCAAAACTCCGGGTTTATTATAGTCCGAGAGACTGGAGAAGTTGAACATCTTTACTCTTCCCTACTGCAGATTAAGAGGTGGTGTGACTTCGGTGTCCAGAATACTAAGAAAATGATTCTGTACTTGATGTGTCCTATAGTTTTCTTTCTACTAAGTCAGGACAACTTCAAGGGCATAGCGGGAGAGTGCAAAAGACAGGAACGAACAGACAACACGAGGCATACTGGTTTCCATGCTGGGCTACCAAATACTTGAAACTTGCTACCTAATGAGTTGGTGTTGTACTCTCTAATTGAGTTATTCAGGTGAAGACTAAACATTCTCAGACGCCTACTAGAAAAGGACTAGCACAGACCAGAGGCGTTCTTTCCTCACTACACAAATCTGAATCTAATCTGAATGTAAAAATATAGATCATCACCTATCCATTGGTAATAGACACGCCGAGCCGTTAGTCGAAAGATCCTTACTTTCTGTTCAGAACTAGCCGAACTATTTGAGTGAGATACGTATGACCTCATCTGAATGCGATAATCTAAAATAAAAATTGTAAAATAGTCTGAATCTTACCTTGCATAGTTTCTGCCTCGAGTTTCGGCTTGTTCGAATCTCCCCAAATGCTGACTGCTGCTTTCATTGTTGAAAGTCCCACTCCCGACACTGCACTTATTGGGGCGGTTTTCACTCAGAAACCTCCTCTATACAAAGAACCAGACCAGCTTAAAGAGTCAACAAACCACCTGCTCACCATGGGCTTCGATCAAGACGATGTGCTTAAGGCTCTTAGCACCGCAAACATGGAAAACTCAGCAGGACCAGATGAACTAAACCCCAAAATCTTGAGACATATTGCACAATATATCACGACCCCACTGACTGTGATATTCAATATGTCACTTGACCAGGGTGTGTTACCTATGGACTGGAAAGACGCAATCGTCACTTCCATACATGAAGAAGGACCAAGACAACTTCCATCGAACTACAGACCTGCAAGCCTCACCAGTGTTGTCGTTAAGATATTGGAAAGAATAGTCAAACAGACCATAATAGCATTTATGAAAGCCAATAACTTGCTAAACATAGAACAACATGGTTTTAGGAAGGGTCTATCTTGTGCCACGAACCTCCTTATAGCAAGGGAGTTTTGGATAAAAGCGCTAGACAATGGAAACTCAGTGGATGTTGTCTACATAGACTTCAGTAAGGCTTTTGACAAGGTGCCATCTAAAAGACTGCTATTGAAGTTGGAAACCCTCGGTATTGCAGGACTTCTTTTAAAATAGATTAGGGATTTCTTAGTGGGTCGCCGACAGAAAGTAAGAATAAATTCCAAGTGCTCCATCTGGAAACCAGTACTTAGTGGGGTACCTCAAGGTTCCGTCCTAGGTCCTTTGCTTTTTATAATGTATGTTAATGATCTTCCAAGTATAGTACAGTCTCCAATGTTATTATACACTGACGGTGTAAAGATCTGGCGAGTAATAACTGGAGATACAGAAGTATGTGCTCTTCTGAACCTAACTTATTCTCTCTTTTTCTTCCCACATAGCAGTCGAGTAGAAAAGTCAAGAACGAACAAAATACTCGTGGCATACAGGTTTTCACACCGAGTCATCAATACTTGGAACCTACTGCCCGAAGCAGTGGTGTCCGCACCTTCAATTCAGTCTGCAGTAATAAGGATAGTAGGTTAGTGAACCTGTGTTAATCCTGACAGATTGTCTTCCAGTGAAGGTCCAGTTTCTTCTTGAAAATATTCACTGATGGGGCTGATAACACTTGTTTGGGTAAGGTGTTCCAATCATTGACTACTCGATGAGAAAAACAGTACCCCACTTTAAGTTTATCAGATCGCGGTTTATGAACCTTCTTTCTATGACCTCGGAGATTATTAGTGCTGGAGGGAGCAAAAGGATGAGACATATTAACACCCAAATCATAATTAAAGATACGACATGCCAGTATAAGGTCACCCCATGTCCTGAAGATCCAGATGATTAGCCCCACTTTTTATTGTTCTTCGGATTTTAACGTCATCCGCAAACAACAATGTCGACAACTTAAGCAACAGCGGTAACTCATTAACTTAGAGAAGGAAGAGTAGAGGGGCTTAGATGGTGCCTTGGGGTACACCACTTTCGACTCTTGCAAAAGAAGACTGGACACTCACAGACACGTACTGGTAAAGGAATAACATAGGCCGTAGGCCTTCTGTGCTTACTACACAAGTCTGGGATCTGAGTCTGAATTTTGTTCACTTGTTCGATCCTCGGCACTTCGATCAAAGTAATGAAAGTGGACGACCTTGAGCAAGAAAATTTAGATGTGGCTAGTGATAGAAGTAAAGTATGTGGACGCATCAGTCCGATCTTGGTGTGCGGTGCGTTCGTATGTTCTTGTAGCAGGTTGAACTATCTGCTTCTAGTTTCAATCCAGAAATTGTTTTGATATGCGACTTGTGCTGTTTGTGATTCCCGAGCTCTCAAGTTTGGGGAAATTATGTAATAGTTAGAAGTATTTAAATCATTAAACGAACTACGAATTCCCGAAGTAGTGCAATTTACAGCGAACAGAACTAGATAAACCCAAAGGAAAGTATTACATTTAGTGTTTGATATTAGGCAGTCATCAAGTACAAAAGAATCAGCAGTTCATATAAACACTACAGATTGTTGCCGATTGGTTTCACTAACGAAACTACACGATACACTGTGTGTGCTTGTTGGGTCATCGATTCACCTTTTATTTTGTCCATTTGTTTCCCAACCATCACGCTACTCTGCATACTCCTTTAGTACACAACGTACCTCTTGGCTAGATGCGAACCTCCACAATTCTGTTTTTAATGGGAACTTTATTATTTCATATGTGAAGGCCCGTTATTCATTTTAGAACTATGTATCAGCCATGAATATAACAATTTTCTTACACAAATTGCCTTAGTATTTTTCGTGCTTGCTGAAAGGCGGCTCGAGGTGAAGGATCTAGGTCGCTCATATTCTTTACTTCCACTCGATTCTCAATTGAAAAGTTATACAATTGTAATTTATAAACACTTTTAACATAAACTAAGAACTGATATACGTGTGAGATGTTAGTGCTCTAGCTATAATACAATAATGCTTGTTGACCATTATGAGGAAATGAATTCCACGCCAAAAAATCTGTATGGTTCGTTTGTTTTTTAGTTCTGACACTTCTCACGCTCTCTACACTTCTAGGTTCTGTCACGTGTTACTTTCCACATTATGCCAGTACATAACATGCCTTCATACTAGACACAAACGCTTCATTTGCCTAATGCTATTGGACGCCTTTTCTTAGGGGCTTAAGGATCTTCCATACGTTGGATCAACGTATAACCGATATCTCTTTATTTCCACCTGGGTTTATGAAACAGGAAAGGATGTATTCTGAAGAATAATCCTCTTTCATGACTCTTAAGGAGGAAAAAATCCACTTGACTTCAAGAACAAGACTAAGTAAACTCAGTGACTCAGATTGTGAGAGAAAACTATTAGTATACTAATCCATCGGTAATTTAAAACTATCAGTCACAGCTTGTGATACCGAAGAATTGTGAGTCTATCGGTGGTTGAAAATGTCGGAAGTTGAGTTATCAACTTCATTAAAACGTCTCCCTAAATTAAGTTTTGCTAAGATTAAAAAACCTTTAAGTATCAATGGTGCTAAACAACAACTAAACATTTCATTATATTTGGAGTAACGATGTTACTTGAATATTGTTGTTATCAGTAGATATTTTATAAGTAAAAGGAATGGTAATCTTGTGACCGAATTTAAATTAGGGTGGGGCTAGTAGTGATTTTCGTTATTTGAAGTTGAAACCTCTATGCGATATATTTTCTCGCTAAAGAGCTGTTTTGGCATTTGTTGTAGTTACCACATATTTCTATGCATTTGAAAATTGAAGTGAAATGGAGATATCTATGTTCGATCCTTATTTTGGAATAAATTTTAAGGTCGAAGAACCAGTAGAGTTAGATGACCTGGTTATAAGGTCGTCACAGGAATTAGTCTCAAAAGATGTAAATGTTGTTCCTGAAAAATGTATAGAAGGTAGGTAACCATTATTATTATTATCATTATATTTGTGAGATTCGTATTTGCTCATCGTCACTCGTTACTAGAAACCAACATGTAAGAACTTGTTTGTAGGAACTATACCAATGTTCGGTCCTTAATTAATTTTAATTATTGTCACATGAAACGTTACTTGTATGCTCTTCAAACGCAGCCATGTACTTTCATGTCGTTTTGTGCATGTTCCCAATGTCGTTAATCTATAACTATACGTAACAGCACCGCACTCTGACCCCCCACTGTTCATAAAGTAATTCATCCAGGTCACTCACGACAAAACACTGATGACCTCGCCTGTATTTTAAAATTTCATTGATTTCGAGATAACTATTAAAACATATACTCACTTCTTGTTAAGTACTCAACAGAAATTGGTCGTCACCAACAGACTAGGAAAACACGATGTTAGTTGTAAGCTACTCAACAATCAGTAATTGTTAATATGTTTTAAGTGATATCGTATAAGGTCTTCAGCTGTTGATACTTTCGTGCCCTAAGCTAATACTCAATACTTTGAACGAGAATAATCTTATCTTCTACCCTGCTCTTTAATCAGAGTGAGAAGTCCAGTTCTTAGTAAAAGGCTTTGTTGATGAAAACCTAGGAAAAATTAACTTACATTTAAGTTAATGCAGTTATAAATCGATTCATTGATTATAATTTATAGAATTTCATCAACTGGGTAATTTTCACTGAATAAGGAATCACAATGAAATAATAAATACAAAGGGAAATGCACTGGAAATCAAACAAGTGCTGTGTTTGAAGAGATTACGAGTTCACCTAATCGGAGAATGGGACGAAGGCTCTGTGACACAATGACAGGAGAACTAGCTATTCCGATGCATCCAAGCCCAGCCAACTAGAGAGAGAAGTCCAAATTCTGATGAGGGAAACATATTTCGACTTTCATCCTATCATATCAACAACTAACAGAATAATAAATAACCGGTACTAGTGAAAACAAATCGAAAGTTAATTAGTAGGACCCACTCTGAATAAACAATTGTAATTAAAAGGAGTTGAAAGTTTACTGAATGAAAATAATCCTAAATCGATTTATAGATTGATTTTTTCCACATTGCATTTTGGGATTTCACATTCCTAACAACCATAATTGATAATCATATTGTTAACTGCACCAGTTATTATTCTGTATTTCTATAAATTGTCACTTCTGTTTAGTGGAAGACCATAATAACCCTGCTGATGTTAACTTGGATATATATATATAGTGCGAGTCATTATACCTTTTCCCAGTTGATTATGTATTTTATTTATTTATTTGAACACATAAATATTGGTACAAGAGGGCACCAGATATATATGCGCCACACAAAACAATGAGAATTTAAAGACAAGGAAAAAAACAGTAAGGAGCGTGGAAGAAAAAGAGAACAATGACGAACAGATTGGTGTAAAGTAGTGTAATAATGTTAGTAATAATGGGGGAAAGGAAAGGTACAACCGGAAAGAATTCTATCAGTTAAGGAAGATACAACCATTTTTTATGAAGAAAGTAAAAGAAGGTTACAGCAGGATCGCCACTGACTTCTATTCTGAGCCATATCTGATAACATCTCTAGCCACTGTGTAGCACCACCTCTCAGACCCCAACCAGGGAGTCGTGAAGGACCAACACAAGCCAGCCCCTTTGCAGCTTTCTTTCATACCCCGACACCATGTCGTATACTGATCACCTCCGCTTTTTCCAACCAGTCCCAGAGTCGGCCAATAATTCACGACGTGGAATTCTCTGGGACGACATTCGTAGAACATGTCCAAGCCACCGAAGTCGGTGCTTCAAGATGATGACACCAATTGGATTATCGTCTCTGTGCCCGAACACGATGCCGAACCTCTGCATTACTGACATGTTGTTGCCACTGAATGTCAGCAATCCTTTGGAGACAACGATGATCGAACACAGAGAGTCGTCCAACGTCCCCAACTCGGAGAGGCCAGGTTTCCTAAGCATAGAGCAGAACGTTTTGGTGGAGTTTTGTTCTCTGAGCTGGATAGTTTGGTCCTGGAGCTGTCATCGTTCTTCTGAACGACATCATCAGCATAAACTTCAGATAGAAGTGAAGTGTTCGAATTTCTCCATATGTGTTTCACAGCTTGTTCTGTGCAACTCGATGTTGATTGGTTCTTATTGACCTTAAATTTGTCATTGTTTACTTCTTTGTTTTGGTTGTGTCTCCCGTTGTGCATGACTTTCCTGATTGGTTGGTAAATTGGATTGATAGAGCAGAAGTGCTCTCACTGACGCGTTGTAGATCCGACCTTCTACAGCCAGACTAACATCACGAAGGCGCCAAAGATGGCCCACATTGGCATAAGCCGCTCTGTCTTTCACTAAACGTGCATTGATTCCATCACTCACGCTCCCACTAGCACTTATGCAGCAACCTAGGTACAGGAACTTCTCGACTACTTCTATCTGCTCACCATCCAGGGAGAGTACAGGATTGGAATCCTGCCAGTCTTGTAGAAGTACTTTGCACTTCGAAGGTGCAAAGCACATACCGTGCCTACGCAGACGACATAGTCCTGTTTGGTAATGACGCTGATAAAATGCAGAGTCTTTTGGTAGCACTAAGTAACAGTGCCAAAATATTTGGAATGCGCTTCTCGCCCTCCAAATGCAAGTTGTTGCTTCAGGACTGGTCTGCGTCAACACCTGAATTAAGGATAGGGAGTGAAGTAGTTGAACGCGTTGACAACTTCATTTATCTTGGGAGTCTGATCAGCCCTAATGCGTTGGTGTCTGACGAAATCTCAGCACGGATTCGAAAAGCTCGTTTGGCTTTTGCCAACTTACGTCACCTATGGCGAAGGCGAGATATCCGTCTAAGTCAGTTGATGAGGTTGTGAATCTTCATCGACTGAGATGGTTGGGCCACGTGTTACGTATGCCTGAACACCGATTACCACGAAGTGCAATGCTAACCGATGTTGGAGATGGTTGGAAGAAAATTAGGAGCGGCCAAACCAAAACGTGGCATCAGTGCTTGAAGACACTAACCTATAGTCTGAGCCATGTTGGTAGATGCAAACTACTTGTTTGGGGTCCGCGTGACTATCGTAACCAATGGTTGGAGACTGTTGGTGACATGGCTCAGAATCGATCACAATGGCGTCGTTGTATACACTTTCTGTCTTCCCTTAAACTAAGAGATTAAAATCGCTTCATATCATTCTTTCTACGAAATAATTCTTTCTTTCTGTACTATATCCTTATTGCAATCTTTCTTTTATATATTACCACCATTGACTTGACCACTCCTGTGAATCCGGTGTTCATCTTGTTGTGCTATTGCGGTATGGCAACCTGGACCGATGCACATATGTGCCTGGTCCTACGTTGTAGCTGACTGACTGACTGACTGTTTTTACTAATCTCTTTGTCGCTATATATGTAAATTTGACATGTAGCGTAATTATGATTGACACTAAACATCAAACATTTGTGCGTATTTGTTTTCATTTTCATGACATGTTTGTTATATAAATCTAGCAACATGTTTATTAACGATTTAGTTACGTAACCACAATCTTTCGTGATTTTCGTAGATGAATGTGATTCCGATAAAGCTCCTGTTGTTGGCGATCTCGTTACAGATAGAGGTGTGGTTTTTATCAGAACAAATCGGAACCCTATCCGACAAAATTCTGCAAAGGGTAGGTGCCTTACGTTATTCTAATATATTGAGATTGCAAATCAAACTCACCCATGAAAAAGCATACGTCTTAAATTTTTTCCCCACCTATTCGACGTGGTTTATTTGTCGTTATCTACAAATCTGAAAGTAAGCATATATCTAAAGAAGTGTTTGTTCGATTAGTTGTACTATGTGGCGTGCTTAACGGTACAGTTTTATTGCTACTTCTGTTAAGATTTCAAAGGAGTAAGATATTTCCATTTCGTGGATGGAATTTTCATTTTCGACATCCCATCTTACTAATGATTTATTGTGTCCATCTTCTTTGAAGACTTTTGTGAAAAAAGTCCTTAGATTTGATTTTATTGTTTACCATATTCGCTGACAAATAGAGCCATTATTGAAGTATCAAAAATTATTTACGTTTCATTTAATACACATTATTCTTGCTTCGGTAGTATCAAATCGTCTACATCGACTCAACATAGATTGGATAACGATGTACTAAACTTGTATAAATGAGAGTAAACATCTTTTTGCGTAAAATATCGTAGTAGATTGATGTTAACCGAAGCACTCTGTGAAAAACTTAAGGATCGAATATATTATTTTCACCATTATCTCAATTTGTGAAGAACTATTGACAAGCAGATAGGAATATATATGTTCCGAATTAATTTGAGACCCTTGATCATTGAGGATTCATAGCTCTATACAGATTCAACATAAGCGATGCATGAAGGTATCACAGTGAACACAGTACTTTCAAACCATTGAGTTGGCGTCCATTTCTCCTTATTTTCAGCTCCAAATGATCTACGGTTACAAGTGTAAATATAATTCAATTTTCATTGTGTATGTCAAGAAATAGTATTAATAAATGTTTAACAGTCAGATTTAGTTGTTGTTGTTTTTGTTGTTGGTTGCTTGTATCTTCCCATCACTGTGTAGGACTGCAGTTGATCAGTCTCTCGTTGGCATATGTGCATCCTGTGCAGGTTGCCTCGATATTGCCTTAAGTCACTAGCTTTATGAGCAATGATCGATGGTAGTTAGCAGTGGAATCCAGGACGCGCATTTCGTATGTCCAACCACCGACTGCCTTGACCTACGATGTTTTTTAGTGTAGGAGTAGGTTGGAATTAAGCTAGGGGCGGCCAGGCCAAAAAATGGCACAAATCCCTGGTTAGGATCCGCGAGACGATAGCCATCGATCGTTAGAGACCCTAAATGACATGGCTCAAAATCGTCTGCAATGGCGCAGGTGCATCCACTCTTTGTATTCTCCCAACTTCTGATTTGAATTCTTCGTGTCCCTTTTTTTCTTTTTCCAAACTTATTTCACTAGATTATACTCCTTGAATAACATCTTCAAACCCTAATCTTTTCGATTACTGCTTATACTTTTACTACCTCTACTACTACGTGATTTTAATCGACAATTGTATCTCTGTGCTAATTTGGTATGGCAACTCGAACTGATGTGCGTACGTACGAAGTTCTACGTAGTCACTAACTGACTGATTTTGTCCTATTTCGGTCTCGTCAGCTGGATGTACCTGCGTGGCAGAGTCATATAGTGATAATTTATTACCATCCACTAGTATATTTACTGATTTTGTTTAAAGAATTGTTTTACTTTTTTTAATGACATAGGTTTTATTAATTCGTATGATTTTTTTAATTAGGTGTAAAATTTACCTGTGATCTGTGTAACAAAGAATTTGCTTATAAAGTAGGCTTAGATGAACATAATAAGAATATTCATGAAGGTTGGTCTATTATTGTGCTTCAAATTTTTATGTATGTACTTTGCTGAACTTCTAATGATGATTCACATATAATTCTTTTATGGCTTCTGCAGAATCTAACTTTTTAACATATGTAGATATGAATCTTCTGGTACGGAAACTGTTTGAGTCGGTTTAGTCATCTGGATAGAATCTCAGCCTAAACAGAAATACTGTGATGAATACTTGAAAGATTGATAATGATTAAGAATATTCTTTTCAGGTCTTGAAGTTATAGAATTTTGAATAATATTTTGCTGTTTTATGTGAATAAACTGTTACTGAAAGAAACATTTGTTGTGACTTTATGTCCGGCTTTTTATCACGCGATTTATTCACCAATCAAAATACGACTTCCACAATCTTAGCACTGTGCTAAATCAATGACGTTGGACCGGTATGAGCAGCCTAGCGTCCTTACTGGTCCTATGACCGCCTAACCCGTTCACTTGAGTCCAGAATTCCAATACCAACTTCCACTATGTGAATCATACATTTCAAACATACTGTGTTTATATATCAAACAAACAGACCGTAACGCTCCATAAAATAGGAAAAAACATTTGTATTTTAATGAAAATGACTAGTGTTGGTCGTCACTGTTTTCTACAAGTAGAATGTGGGTTGTAGCTCTTGCTATCCTGTTGGAGTACTTAAATTTCAATTGCTGTGATTGTTTTCACTCTTCATACCATAATTATAGTTCAAGGTCTTCTATGGGAATGACTGTTCTTTTTTTCTTATCCTTTTCTCTTTTGAAATGGTTATGTATATCTAGGATGATATGTGTACTTCCAACCTTTAGTACATAACCACATTTATTCATTTTTAATTTGTTTCATAAAAGTTTATCAGTATTCATACTTGTTTTTTTTTCATTAGGAATAAAGTATCCATGTGACCAATGTAGTAAGACGTTTTCGTCCAAATGTATGTTAAATAACCACGTGAAAGCTATTCATAAAGGTATGTTAGGGTTTTGAAAGAGACGTTCTACTGTGAAACTGGTTCGTCTCATACATTCTCATCAGAAAAATTATTTCGTGTATGCTTTTCATTTGAATTGTTTTAACATGTTTCTTCGGTTTCTAATGTTTCAATCCGTTAGTAGTCAGTTTTAATACTCTGCTTGGAATGTATTACTTATATACATGGGTTTCAGTTGTCACGCAACATTTAGCGCTGCACGACAAGACTATCTAGACCAATTCTAATGTAGTGGTAGTAGTCAAAATGATAAATAATAGTTGAAAAGTTTTAGGTGTGGAATAAAAAAGTATTTAAAGACTTCAGGACTTTAGAATCTAAGGTTAGGAAGAAATGTAAAAACACTTGAGCCACTATGATCGATTCTAATCCATGTCTGCGCACCCACTGGTTTCGGTAATCGTTCATACCACGAGCAAATAGTCTACACCTACGTACATGGCTTAATCCATTTGGTAATGACCTCATGGGTTGATTCGTTTACGTTTGTCATGCCATATCTTTCAGCCTAATTTTACACCGTGCAACATCGTCCATCGAAGTAGGAGCTTTCGAGCATACATAATACATGTCTCGACCACCTGAGTTAATGAAAACTAATTATCCTGAATATTGATATCAAATTTATATAAGTATATATTTTGTTAATTATTGTTTTTTTTCTCTCATTAGGAATAAAACTTTCTTGTAAGCAATGCGATAGAAAGTTTAATTGTAAATCCAATCTAAACTTACATGTAAAGTCTGCTCATGAAGGTAATTTCTATTGGTTGGTTATAATTATATTCTATCATGAAATCGTATTTTACGCGCAGTTTCATCAAATATTGATCATACACATCACATTGAAATCACTCTTCATGTATTTTGGACTTTTAATTATTTGGCAACTCATATTGATAATATTCCACTGGAAGTTCTGTTTCACGAAAGATAAATTGGTGTTATAGTAGGTTAAAAAACACGAATTTCAACTAATAAATCGTAGATCGTAATCCTCTCTCACCTTTCATTTGGTCACATATTGTGAAGCTCGAACTCTTAGGAATCACTTATTTTTTAGTTGGATTATCATTTTAAATAGTTAAACATATTTTACCAAATCTCAGCTTTCTCGGTTCTTATAGGTATATTTTTCCAATGTGATGAGTGTGATAAGAAGTTCACTGCGAAATGTCCACTAAATAAACACATACAATCAATTCATCAAGGTATAGTCTTTTTTTTACAATCACACAATTACATTTACGTGTATTTTTGTGGATTTTAATATGCCTATACACCCTGTTCACTAATCCCATTTTTATTTCACTCTGTTTTTTTATTGACGTTTTCTTACTATAAGAAAAGTACGAGTAATAAAATTTTCGAAAGGTATGAACTACATGATTATAAGATAATGGGAAATGAGCTTGTTCAATAAGGAGGGATTCTTTTGAAATTTGTTAGAATGTATTGATAAATCAAGGTATTCATATTTTTACTAGTATATTAACATTATTGGTTTGTGGCTAGTTGTATTACTCGATCGTATAAATTGAAGTATGTTGTTTCCTCTGTAAGGATCCTTAAAGTTTGTAATCCAAAGTGTCTAATCGATGATGGATTATAATGGCTTTATGATTCAGTTTACCATGGAAACGAGTGATTGAGTAAAGTCGTATTCCACTGATTGTTCTGTTGCTTTTCATTAATAGATCTAAGTTACGTTTTAATTACAAATGATTGAGATTCCTCTAATGCGACCAGTTTCCATCGAGCAGTTCATTAATGCGGTAGCTGACACACAACACTTCAATAATAGTCGGTAAAATCGAAGGAACGAAAGGATAAGATTGGAGTGATACATCAATCATGTGATAACTTTCATCACTCCAAATCTGCATGCTGAAAATATTTTTTTAAATAGTCAAAATAATAAATCATATTTGATTTTTTCTTTAATCATACCTTCATGGATAACTTTAACATGATCATTTAATGTACTCGGTTTTGTAAATTTCTTGTCACATTGTCCACAAGCAAACCTCACTCCTAAAAGGAAATAAATAAATAAGAAGTCTGGTAGGATAATAGATCAATTCACTTCAATTACGAATCATAGTAAAATAAGCTTGCGTGTATAGATCAGACCATAATGATTCTGTGAAAGAGATCATCCGTTACATAAGAAAAATGAGATAAACAATAGAAAGCCAACTGCATAGTCAACATCAGTGACTAATGGATCTAAGATGAAATA